GTAGAGATGCTAAAGCAAATGGAAGAAATGAGGAGGTCCAAGAGCTGAACAGAAAATTTCAAAAGATCAGCTTGAGAAGATAAAGCCAAATATTAAAACAAAATGTGCAAAGATCTGGAATTAGAAAACCACAAAGGAAGAACACACTCAGCATTTCTCAAGCTGGGGGAACTGAAGAAAAAATTTCAAGCCTTGACTTTCGTTATTGAAAGATTCTTTGGGCATATTGTTGAATGATGCCGAAAGCATCAAGATAAGATAGAAGGAATACACAGTCACTGTACCTAAAGGAAATGGTTAATGTTCAATCGTTTCAAGAGGTAACATGATCAAGAGCCACTGATACTTAGGGAGGAAGTCCAATGTGCATTGAGGGAATTGGCAAAGAAAAAGGCACCAGGAATTGATGGAATAAAAATTGAAATCTTTCAAGAAAGTGAGGTGGCACTGGAGACACTTACTCATCTCTGCCAAGAAATTTGGAAGACAACTGTTTGGCGGATTGATTGGAAGAGATCCATATTTGTGCCCATTCCAAACAGAGGTGACTCAACAGAACGCGGAACTCATCGGACAATCTCTTTGATATCCCATGTGAGTAAAGTTTTGCTAAAGGTAATACAGAAACGCCTACAATCATACATTGACAGAGAACTTCCAGAGGTTCACGCCATATTCAGAAGAGACTGTGGAACGAGGGGTATCATTGCTGATGTCTGATGGATCTTAGCTGAAAGCAGAGAATATCAGTAAGATGTTTACCTGTGCTTTATTGACTACAAAAAGGCTTTCGATTGTGTGAGTCATGACAAGCTGTGAATAACATTGCGAAGTATTAGTATTCTGGAACATTTAATTGTGCTCATGAGGAATCTGTACCTGGACCAAGAGGCAGTTGTTCGAACACAATATGGGAACACTGAATGGTTTAAAAATGAGAAAGGTGTCCAATAAGGTTGTATTCTTTCACCATACTTATTCAACCTGTATGCTGAGCAAATAATCCTAGAAGCTGGATTCTATGAAGAAAAATGTGGCATCAGGATTGGAGGAAGACTCACTAAACAACCTGCGATATGTAGACGATACAACCTTGCTTGCTGAAAGTGAAGATGACTTAAAATATTTGTTGATGAATTTTAAAGAGCACAGCCTTCGGTATGGAATATATCTCAATGTAAAGAAAACAGAAATCCTCACTACTGGACCAATAAACAACATTGTTGTCAGTGGAGAAAAGATTGAAGTTGTCAAGGACTTCATTCTTC